CTCAGCAGTGCTCAGAGCTTACTCTTGACTCTGTGCTCAGGCATAACTCCTTGAGTACTCAGGGGACCATATGCATTGTCAGGGCTCAAACCAGGGTCAGATGTTTGCAAGGCAAAGGCTTAACTCCTGTACTATTTCTCTGACCCTCTTTTCTTGGAGTGAATCTGACTTGTTTTGGTATTTTTTACAATGTGTTTGGCTGCATAGCTCCTAAGACAAAAATAATTGGAAATGTTGTCACTGCTTCTGTCTACCGGAAGATATTATAGATGGGTGATTTAATTTCTTCCTTAAAACTTAGGTAGACTTCATTACCTAACCCATTTGGGCTGGGTACGTTTTGTTCAGGAAGGTTTTTAATTATTGATTCAATTTCTTCAATAGTTTGAAACCTTCCACATTGTTTATTTATTGCACAAGCTTTGGCATCCTGTGTCTGTTAGGATGTGATTGCTAATTGCAACTAATTTTGATGGGTTGAGTTTTAAAATTTTCCTTTGGGATTTTTTTCTCTTGCACTTGTCTTGTTGGCCTGTTTCTCTGCTCCTCTCATGAGGCATGCCCTCTACTTTCTAGCCACAGTCACAGTTGAATTGTGCCGTTTCACTTCCAAACACTGAGGGATTTTCCAACTGTCTTTCTGCTAGTGCTTTGCAATTTAAGTCTCTTGTGGTCAGAGAGAAGACATGGTATGATTTATAGTCTTTTAAATTTGTAAGGCATGTTTTATGGCTGGAAATGTGGTCTAGCTTGATACGTCTCGCAAGTGAGTTGGGAAGCTTCGTGTCTTCTGCTGCTATTGAGAAAGGTGGACCAGAGATGCCAATTCCACGCTGTTGATTGATGGTCCTGTTGACTTCAATGATTTTGTTTTCTGTTTTCTGGATCTGTCCATTTCGGGTTTGGTATGTCAAAGTCTCCAGCCATGATAGAGGATTCATCTATTTCTATGTGTTTGGGTTTTCCTGGTTTCCTTTCCCTTTTCTGTGTTGCTGTTGTTGTGATGACTAATGCTTGCACACTTGACTGTGGTGCCCTGAAGATTGTATATGGCATTGTTGTTGTGGCGTGAGGGATCACAAAGGCCATCCCACCAGGATCACACGTGCATCTCCACTCCTGCAAGCAAACACTCTAACTTTGAACTACTTCTGGGTCCCCATCTTTGTGCCTTGATGCGTCATTGTGGGCTGAATGTACAGTTAGTGTGTTATGGCCACTCAGAGAACAGATCTGTTATTACATAATTCCCTTTACTGTCCCAGATCATTTTCCTTGCTCTGAAGTCTGCTCTTTCTGAAATTGATATAGTTACAAGCATATATAATCAACGATGTTGTTGATGTTATTTTGAAAAAGCTGTTTTCTGCCATATTCTTGCTTAATCAAAGAAAAATGAGTTGTGATTTTGCTATCATTTATTTCTACTCCATATTCTTTTTAAAAATCAGATTCGAGTCTCTAATATTTTCCCTGACACAGAAGAGCTTCTTTTAATATTTCTTGCAATAAATATTGTAGGATAGTAATGGACTCCCTCAAGTTTTATTTTTCAAAGAAAGGTCTGTTTTGGGCTAGAGCATTAATACAGTGGGTAGGGCACTCACCTTGCACCTGTCCTACAAGGTTTCGATCCCTGGTGCCCCGTTTGATCCCACAAGCATCACCAGGAGCAATCCCTGAGTACTGTCCATTATGTCCCAAACACACACACACACACACACACACACACACACACACACACACACACAGTATACTTCTCCTTCACTCTATAAAATTCCCTTTCCCTTTCCTTTGTTATTCTCTCTGGAGGTTGCACACCTGCCAGGTTGTGGTGCTCACATAGCTTCTGCCCCAGGGCCTGCTCAGCCACATGGCAGGAGACAGTGCTCTCGCCCATGGATGTGGCTCTCAGCGACCTTTGTACTCCTTCCATGATGGTGCTTGCACACTTGCTTGCCAGGGGTGCCACACCCCAGTGTGGTACTTGTGCATCTTTTCTGGTGCAATGCTCATCTGAGGATGCTCCCCTCTTTGTGGTATTTATTTGTACCTGGCTGTGGTGTGGTCAGAAATGACAGCACCAGGGATCACAGAGGACAGAGCTGCCAGGATAATATTCCGTACACATGGGGTATTAGGACTGAACTCACAATAGTCTTACCATGCAGAAGCTCCAAACCCCCCTACTATCCCACCAGCCACTTTTCATTCACTTTTGAAGGGTAATATCACAGGGCACAGTATTCTACATTGGCACATCCCTCCCCCAACCCCTAGCACTAGTTTAAATACTTCATCCTACTCTCTTCATCTTTTTTCTTTTTTGGTTTTTGGGTTACACCCAGTGGCGCTCAGGGCTTACACCTAGCTCTACATTCAGTGATCACTCCTGCAGGACTTGGGGTCCGTATCGGGTGCCAGGGATGGAACCTGGGTCAGCCATGTGCAAGGCAAGACCTTAATTGCCATACTGTCACTCTGCCCCTGCCCCTTTCTTCTTGATTGTATTTATGGTTTTGAGAAATCAGAGATAATTCTGATATTTCTCCTCTGTAGGAAAGGTATTATTTTCTTCTGACTTTCCTTTTACTGTTCTTTAGCTTTGATTCTCTGCAGTTTGCTTGTAATGTCCCAGGTATAGATTGGTTTGTGGCACATTTATCCAGGTTGATGTGCTTTGAGCCCATTTCTGACATTAATTTGAGTACATACTCAATTATTTTTATTTAGAGTATTTCTCCTCTTCCTTTCTTCGTTCTCCTTCTGGTACTCCCATCATGCATTTTTTATAGCTGTCCCACTGTTCTTTTTTTTTTAATTTTTATTGAATCACCATGAGATACACAGTATAAAGCTGTTCACAATTGGGTTTCAGTCATACAATGTTCCAACACCCGTCCCTTCTTCACCAGTGCACATTTCCCACTACCAGTGTTCCTAGTTTTCCAGTTTTCCTCATATCCCCACACCCCCAACCTGCCTCTGTGGCAGGCACTTCTCTCTCTCTCTCTCTCTCTCTCTCTCTCTCTCTCTCTCTCTCTCTCTCTCTCTCCCTCCCTCCCTCCCTCCCTCCCTCCCTTTCCATTTGGCATTATGTTTTGCACTTCAGGTACTGAAAGGTTATCATGTTTGTCCCTTTACCTCCTTTCGGCACTCTGCCCCATTGTTCTTACACAGTCTGTTCCTTATCTCCAGTCTTCTTCCTCTTTGCTTTCCTGGGTTAGAAGTCTCTGTTGACAAATCATCATGTTCATATTCTTTCTCTACTGCATTCATTTGACTAACAGACTCATCAAAGGCATCCTACATTTCTGTTAGTGTTTTTGGTCATTCACATTCCTTTTTGATCCTTTCCTAGAATTTCCAGCTTTCTGGACATGGCCCATTTGTTCTTTTATGTTGTCTGCTTTATCCATTTGAATCCTTAGGATATTTATCAGTAGCTTTAAATTCCTTCTCTGATCATTCCGATACTTCTGTTATGTCTTAGTTTGTCACTTGCTCTGTCTCTCCAAACTGTGTTTTCTGCCTTTTTCTATGCCTTGTATTTTTTTCTGTCCAGGTGAATCTTATGTACCAGGTTATCAGAAGTACAGCAAATAGACAATAATAATATGATGGTAGAGGTAGGGCAGGAACTCTTCTATCATCCTGTGATTAGATCTCAATCTTTCAGTGACCTCCTGCCTCTTAACTAGGAGATATAGAATTTCTTTTTTTATAATATAGGGATGGTTTCTTCCCTTTTTATTAGTAGATTATTCTTTAGAGTGGGCTATGATGGGTGTTTTTCTTCCCTCAGTCCTCTGTGATCTCACAATCTGATAAAAACAGTAAATAGGCTTTGGCAAAAATAGTTTTTCCTGAGAGCAGGTTGTCCTGGCATATTCCATAATGGTTCTTTTTCTCATTACCCTGTGGAAAATAAGGAAATTGTTCTCCTGGATTCTCTGGAAGAACCAGATCAAGTCACCCCTATGACTTGGGGTCCTGCCTACGGTCACAGAACCTCTGATTTGTCCTTTCCAAGACAACATCAATCCCCCAGGTCCTCCCTCCCCACCCACTCTCGACCTGGTGCTGCAGTGTTGGTCTCTGGCACTGACCTCCGATCTTCTTGTGTCTCCAGTTTGGCTATGGCCCCAGGAGTTTGCTCTGAGTCCTTCCTTCTCTGATGAAGCTGAGTAGAACTCATTGTTCTCTAGGTTTGGAGCAAACTTCACTGGGCAGAGGAATGACTCTCTCATCTCTTACATGCTGCATTGGAAGCCAGGATGGTGGGTTTTCCCACCTTTTCATGTCCTATCTCAAGGATAGCCAAGCTTTAGATCCTGGCCTCATTCAATCTGTATGACATCAGATTTCTCTCCTGATCATATTCACCCATTTTAACAGAGTTAATCGGATAGACTGTGTTCATGTGGTTCATTTCAGTTGAGGATCCAAGTGAACTGTTTTTGTTTTTGTTTTAAATGTCAGGAATGGAACCCAGGACCTCATACTTATGTGGCAAGAACTTAACCACTTGAGCCGCTAGAACCTCTAGATCACACAGGTCCTTGAACTGATTTGGCTACTGCCCTGTTTTCAGGAAAACAGAATCACTCAGTGCCACTCTGGAAACCTGCCTTTTTTAATTGAACTGACAGAAAACACCCCTACACTGCACCTAAGTCTACTACCTCCCCTGTCACTGCAGCACCTCCTGGGAAGATAGCCCCTCACCCAGAAGTGTTCTATTCCCAAAGAGGGGGTTTAGACTGGGTATTGGTCATTAATCCTTCTTTCCATATTAGGGGAGAATGGATAGAGGTGAGTAGAAAGTGCCTAGCTCCCTAGGGAGGTGTCATGGGTGATTATAATTTGGCAGGATGAAGAATTTTAGTTTTTATATCTTCCTGCCTTTCTTAAATACTATCAAATGAGCGTGTGTTATTTTTATACTCAGGGAAGGGTAAGAAGGGTGATGTTTCAGCCATGGACTGTTTTCCCTGCAGTGTGCAAGATGAATGTTCACCGGCGCTGCGAGACCAACGTGGCCCCCAACTGTGGAGTGGACGCTCGAGGGATCGCGAAAGTGCTGGCAGACCTGGGCGTCACCCCAGACAAAATCACCAACAGTGGCCAGAGGAGGAAAAAGGTAACAGGAGGGCTAGTGGGAAGAGTTTCTGGAGCCCTCGGTGGCCTATTTCTTTGCCCCTCTGTGCCGGCTTCCTGAGAAGGCTCCGGTAGAGCTGATGAGGTAGCTGGGTTGAGACTCGGATGGCAAAACAATCTGCATTCACCGAAACAGTTGAGTCACCTTCAGTCCTAAGAATAGGGGGAGGCCAAGTGAGTCTCATGTGCTGTGTTTCTCAGAGGAGCAGAAAGTTCTAGAAGGGGCCTTTGGAATTTCCTCTAGAAAAACCAGGACTCGCTAGACCAGGATAAAGATTTCTCTGCTTCCAGAGCCATGTCAGAGTTAGAACTCATCCCAGTATCACCATAAGGAGGAGAAGTGGATGAAGAGCTGGAACCACATTCTGTTCTGGGGAGCAGATTTCACAGACTTGCCACAGTTCATTCGTTCAGCCACTTGGGCAGCAGTGTGAAGGCCTTCCATGCCCACCCCCCAGCAGCTGGGCAGTTCCTTAAAGAGACCCAAGCCCTGCCTGTGCTGGCTGACATTCTGAGTATCAGTACCAAGAGGTCATTTACTAACATGCCAAGCCAGGGCCACAGATGTTAAGAGAGCTAATGGCCTTTGAGATATTTTGTCTGAAGGCTCTTCTTATCCTTGGCCACTGGCCTAGGAAATGTAAGCAGACCACGAAGAAGTCAGTAGTTCTGAGAACACTGGAGCTGAGTTGCCAGGGCAAGAAATCCTGCAGGGGCTGGGCCTGGGCCTGTGGGCAGACTGGGCATGGCCAGGGGACGGGCCATTTCTGCATCTCCACAAAGTCTTGACTCTGCTGCCTCTTCTGTTTTGATTCCCATATGTGCTCCCTAACTCTGCCACCTCCCCTGCATTTCCCTTCTCCTTGGAGAGCCTGTCCCACCTTTACCTGTACATGGGCCAGTATAGTTCGTTTCTCTTGTCTTTAATTTCTTTACCTTCCCAGTAAGCAAAGTTGTTTTGCAAGGCTTGGAGAGGAAAGCAAATACTCTCCTCCTGGGTTAACTGTGATATTTTTTTTTGTACTAGAGGCTCTTCTTTGCCCTGTAAATCCCACTGGTAGAAACAGGATTTCAATCATTGACCCAAGGCATCGGGAGTGCAAGCAGAATGTCAGCACCCAAGAATGTTAGGGCCCCACTTACAAAGCAGGTTAAGCAAACACACCAGGAAGACCATGTTGAAGCATTTATGAGCTCTGAGAGAGCCTTTGTCAGACAGCAGGGTTCTTTCCCTAGCTAGAAGGCCATGGGGATAGAAGAGTTATCAATTATCCAGAAACAGTGAGAAGGAAGCTCAGCGCCTGTCCTTCTCTCTGTCTTGACATGGCCTGGAAGGCCACTGGCCAAGCCGCATCCGTTTCTGATCCGTGGGGTCCCATGGTAAGAAGCCACCGTGGACACATTTAGGGAAAGACAGACAACAGAACACCAGTCCTGGTATCGTTGTTGCTGCAGGCCTCTGTCGCAGAAGTCGTAATAATCTAAAGGAACTAGGCAGTGGCTCGGGTGGGTGTGAGAGGGTGGAAGGGATGTCCCTGTGACCAGAAATGAAGACGGCTCTGCAGGAGCATCAGCATTGTTGCTGTCCTGTCTCCCTTCCCATTTACTCTGGCATCATCTCGAAGGTCATGTGCACATACAGTAGACCAAGAGTGACAGGGAATTGCTCAGCAGCTCTCTGGCCAAAGCTCTGGCTGAAATGGGAGTTTCAGATATATATTTTGAGGCTGGAGAGAGGACAGAGGTGAAGGTACTTGGCATATGTGTGGCCAACTCTTATTCGATTCCTGGCACCACACATCCTCGGAGTGTCTCCAAGAGTGATCCCTGAGCGCAGAGCCAGGAGTACACCCTGAGTACTGCTGCGTGCGCACATGTATGTACCACACCTCCCCGAGCTACCCCGGCCACCACTACCACCAATGGCTATAGCAGCATCTCTAAAGGTAAAGGTAAAGGCCCTCCCGTTGATCGTCGATTTGCTCAAGCGGGCCCAGTAACGTCTCCATTGGAGACTTTGTTGTTACTGTGTCTGGCATATTGAATACTCTCGGTAGCTTGCCGGGCTCTCCGAGAGGGGCGGAGGAATCGAACTCGGGTCGGCCATGTTGGCCGCTTCTAAAAGGAAGTATTTCTCTGCTGGTGTCCTATTGAAATTTGCCAACATTTTCTGTTTGTATTATTATCATTTAGAGTAAATAAACTTTTGGGGGGGACACCACCTGGATTTCCCACATTGGTAAGGGGGCCATGTGGTACCAGGGATTAAACCCACAGGCACGGGCTTTTAGCCCTTTGGGCTAGCTCCCAGACCTAGAATAAATAAGCAATTTCTATAAAAAAATAAATTTGTCATCAAATATTGAGATGCCCCTGAAAATACTGAATAACTGTTACGTGCAGGAGCAATACAAGTATTGGAGAGGATCTTACCCTCAAAGGACGTGTCGTCCTAGACAAGTATGTTGCAGATGTTAACCAGATCAGCTGAAGGAGATAATAAATGCCAAATGACCAGCTAATAAATGCCAAATGACCATTAAAGACAAGTGTCCGATTGCTGTGAATGAAATCGCGTGTGTTGCTTGGCTGAGCTTTCGGGAGCAGTGAGGTTAAGGGATTGCTCTAGCTTAGGGAGGTCAGCTGTACTTGAGTAGAATGAAAATGGGACCCGTTGAAATCGCTTGCTTTTCTTCGTGGCTGGCAGTAAAGCCTCGAGGCTGTGCTTCCAGAATGCCAATTCCACAAGTGCTTTGCACTGGGGATGCGAAGGACCCGGCTATAACAGGATGGCTGTGACTTCAGAGAAACCCAGCACCCTCCTTTCTGACTCATCTGCCTTCTCTCTCTCCCTCTCTGCAGCTCATTGCCGGTGCAGAGTCCCCACAGATGGCATCTGGCAACTCACCATCGGAGGAAGATCGATCCAAGTCTGCACCCACCTCCCCTTGTGACCAGGGTGAGAATTTCCAATTGGCATCTTTCCTCGGAGCCGGCCCTTGGAATGCCCTGGTTGCTGAGACCTCTCTCTGTCTGACTGGCCCTGTGAGCGGCATTCTGGAAGCTCTTCAGACGCAGCGTGCCTCTCCCTCGCCCGCTGTGCTTTCTCTCCGGGTCTTTCTGGGGACTGGCATCTTGTGGTGGCCGTCCAGCCCTTCCAGGATAGAGAAAGGAAGGGCATGTGACTGGGCTCCTGCTTCCTTCTTCTCCCTCTGCACCAGTGTCTGATACTGGCTTCATGGGGTCACTCAGTTGCTCTGAACATCCCTGATCTTCATCATCATGCCCAAACCTGAGCTCAGGCCAGGAGTGAGGGGATGTTCTGGTTGGGGTGCAGGCTGGATGTGGGGTAGGAAGACCTAACTGGAGAAGAAACATGAGACCGAGTGGAGGGAGAGCCTGCTCTCGGCCTGACACCTTCCAAACCTCAGCTCCAGGAGTCTCCTTGTTTCCTGTAAAAACATGGTTCAAGTCCTTGGAAGAATCTCAGATCCGTAGGCATCCAGGAATGCTGAGGCTCAGTAGGGGCTTTGCACATTTAAGACCTTCTGCTCTGGGAACCAGAAATAGATATGACCCAGAAGGGAAATCTGTGTCTGCAGAGCGACAGTAATTGTGAATGCACGGTGCTAGCGCCTGGGTTCTCTGCAGTGGCCTTTGCATCAGTATCTCATCTGGAAGCTTAGCACACCTCAGGGTTGGTGCACCTTGACCGCTGCATCAGCCCTGGGAGCACCCACAGCCAGTGGCCCTGGAGACCTGCAGATGCACCGCACTTCTGACTCACCAGCTGTGCTTTATCTCCAGGGCTTTCCTGGGCCTTGTTGCGGTCCACATAGTTCCTGAATGGGCAACTGGAGGTCCCAGGGTTGAAGCCCTTTGTCTAAGGTCTGGGAGGGAGTCAATGGTCAGAGATTGCCTCTCAACTTAGGGGCCCCACTCAGCATCCACACCATCATCAGCCCTCTCTGGGGGTCGGGGGTGTCGCCCTCCTGATCCAGGAGTAAAACAAACATCTGCAGGGGCAAAGCCACCCTGAGGCTCTCACATAACGACTCTGAGTTGCTCTTTGTGCTGTTCTGGTTAACCTTCTGACAATTTTTGCTGTTTCTTTACAAGAACAATTGGACCCATTAAGTCAACAAGTCAATTGATTGTATAAGTCAAATGATTGTATTCTGGGCCCTCCAGATTTATAGGTGTTAACCCAGACTGGTGAGAGTATTTTCATATTTCCCTGTTTATTCCCGAGAACTTCAGGGATAAGGTTTTATGGTAAAGAGAGCACAGTAGAATGGGTGGACCATAGATTCTAGACCTGGCTTTCTGCCCAGTGTTCCTTCCAGCCATGGAAGCTTGTGGTGTCTCTTGGGGCCTTTCTCTGCCCTTGGTCTTCCCTTGCAGGTTCTAATCTTAGCAACCAAAAGAGTTCGAGAATGCAGAATCCCCTGTTAGCAAGACATAACATCATTGTGCAACAGAAATAAGACAGTTTTCTTCTACTCATTCTAAGGACACATTGAAAGAAATTGTATTCTAACTTTGGTCTTCTCAAATACTTCCATTTTGTCTTTCAAAATTCATTTAAATAAATTGTGATGGGGATTATTAGCTCTCTATCGAGACTAAAAGTTTAGTTAGGACTCAATGACAGAAGAGTATTGACTGCCAACTCAGGTTGCTCCATCTTCCCACTGCCCCCAGATCTCAGAGATGAGTCAAACTCCGGCTCCAAGATAGATCCCTGAAGTGAGCCCTCATGGGCTTTCATATTGCAGAGAAGAGATCAGCTCCCTTGTGGGCTAACAACACTCACACCTTTGATTTCCAAGGATTAGTGGTCTCTGTGATCCAGGTTACTCATGAGTGCCTTTTAAAATCAGCTCATGCTTGACATGCCCATTTCTACACAGGGAGTGTGTGCCTTAGTGAATGAATAGCTAACAGTAAAGTTTCTGCAAACAGAAAAGGTCAAAGGATTCTCCAATGTCATCACCCCTGGCTAATTCAGGTCACATACTCTGGAGGGGCACAAGACTGTCTCAGAGTTGTGAAATTGTGCTGAGGAATCCCTGCCCCATTGGAGATAAACCTGTAGCATGTCACTCTTGGGAAGCAATTCTTTGGTTAATGATAAGCCCGCTGCTCATTTTGTTAAATAACCTGTGTGAGTTGGGTATTTGCAATAGGCCTGGCAGCAAGGCCAGGTAAAGTACTTTAGAAGGTAAAGGTCTTCTTGTCCCAACTCTTGAAATAGTCACCTCACCAATGATCTGGGTGGCAAGTCTCATTTAGTGGTTGTGCTTATCTTCAAACCATCCAGTACATAAAGGTACCCCTTATCTCTGGGACTCTAAAAGTGTCTAAAAACGACCAGGATGCTTGCACCACCCTCACAGTAATGAGGATTGTTACTAGATGGAGAGGCATATGGGGACATGGTGTCCTTAGGTGATGGCCAGCTGTCCCATAGTCATCCTAATGAGCTATTTGACAGTGATGAATTTGCCTCCTCTTTGCTTGCTTAGACTCAGCTGTCACCAGTAAATGTAAAAATTCTAGCAAGGGCCAGGAATATGGTTCAAAAGGCAGTACACATTCTAGGCCTGTACAGGGCCCTGAGTTCAATCCCTAGCACTCCAGGTTACTACCCAGCATAGCTATCCAGTACCTAACCATCAGTCCTGCATCTCTGGACCTGAGTATCTCTAAGAAGTGCCTCCGATATGCTAGGAGTGGGCTCTATCAAATAACTCTTTTGAGGGGCTGGAGCAATAGCACAGTGGGTAGGGCATTTGCCTTGCATGTGGCTGACCTGGGTTCAATTCACAGCATCCCATATGGTCCCCCGAGCACTGCCAGGAGTAATTCCTGAGTGCATGAACCAGGAGTAATCCCTGTGCATCGCTGGGTGTGACCCAAAAAGAAAAAAAAAATTTAAAAATTTCTTTTAAGTGTGTTCAGCGAATAAAGCAACTTGTAAGGAATACTACTGTGGATTTGTTGCAATCATGAGCAACAAAGAGGTGTTCCAAATGGACAGGGGTGATGTTCTGCGTGTTGAATCCTGGGGAGGACTTGAGAAGTCAGAAATAATGCAGTGTCTTGTCACTCTTGTCCCCAGAAATAAAAGAACTTGAAAACAACATCCGGAAGGCCTTGTCGTTTGACAACCGAGGGGAGGAGCATAGGGCAGCGGCGTCCTCAGGTGATGGCCAGCTGGCAAGCCCTGGAGAGAATGGTGAAGTCCGGCAAGGCCAGGCCAAACGCCTGGGCCTGGATGAGTTCAACTTCATCAAGGTGTTGGGCAAAGGCAGCTTCGGCAAGGTGTGTGGCATGGGGGCGACTCAGTGGTTTCCTCTATCCAGGGGTGCCACCTCGAGTGTTGCATCTAACATTAAGCAATGAATGTCTTGGTCTGCTTTTGGGAGTTTGTCCTTCCTTGCTGCCCAGAGCTTGCGCTCAACCCCAGTTTGTTTCCCAGCACCACACAGAGCCAAACATCAGAAAGTTTGGAAGCCCTGGAAATCCGCATGCACTTCTGTGGCATCCTGGATAGTTCCCAGGAGTGCAGGGCCCAAACAGCATCATGTTACTGATGGGCCCCAGTTTAGAGTTCAGGCTTTCTGAACACCATTTGGGAGATGCTCGCTCCGCTTAAAAAACATATTGGAAGATATAGTTCAAATGGTCTACCATCTCGTTAGTATCTGTGACCCCTGAGTTTGATCCCTGACATCACGTATCCCAAGCTCCACTGGGCCTGGACCACAAATCATCAGACTCTTCAGTGCTGGAACTGGCCTCTGTGAGATGGTAAAGCAGTGGAGCTGGAAAGATAGTCCAGTAGGTAGAGCACTGGCCTGGCATATTCCCATCCCAGGTATGGTCCCTGTCTCCACAGATGGTGGAGCTCCACCAGGATTGATCCTTGAACACAGAACTAGGAGTAAGGAACTTGAAAACAACATCAGAAAGGCCTTATCATACCTAACCATACCTAACCCTGAGCACTGGGTGTGTGGAAAAATAAAGTAATAAATTGTAATTGTTATATTGGGATGGGTTGGTATTTTCCCCAGCAGTTTAAAGCACTGTTTTGGCACCAGAGAGATAGTATAGTAATTAGATGCTTGCTTTGCATGTGGCATATCCACATTCCATCCATGCATCCCATATCGGCCCTCAAACTACTCTAGAATGATCAGTCCCTGAGTGCAGAACCAGGAGTAAATCCTGAATACTGCCGGTGTTGCCCAAGAACCAAAACAGTAAATACATGATAAAGCTAAGATAGTGTTTTGAGTATAATTGAACAAGGACTTTAGAAGATGTGTAACCTCGAGGCCACTGCTTCCACCCCCCTGAAATAACTGACCTGCTTTGGGTCACCTGCAGGTCATGTTGGCAGAGCTCAAAGGCAAAGACGAAGTGTATGCTGTGAAGGTCCTAAAGAAGGACGTCATCCTCCAGGACGACGACGTGGACTGCACCATGACGGAGAAGAGGATTTTGGCTTTGGCTCGGAAACACCCGTACTTGACCCAACTCTATTGCTGCTTCCAGACCAAGGTATGCTCAGGAAGGGTCAGGTGGAGCAGTCTGGGGAAATTCCACCAGGCCCTGCTCTCTTGGCTGGCAGGTTAAAAAAAAAAAAATCCCGACATTCTTTTTTTCAAAGAACGGTCTTGTAATGTGGAATGGTTTCACCCTCGAAAATTATCAGCCTCATCTATTTGACTAGCCTCATCTTTTTGAAGGGCCTGGAATGTTCCATGCAGGGTTGGACTTGTGAAGGAGAGAACAATGGGACTTGGGCAGACAGAGCTGGGCCAATCTGCCTGGCTAAGCCCCCAGTTTACTCCTTGGAGAAAACAACAGGTGGGGGCAGACCTTGCTCTGCTCCTAACTTTTGATCAATAGACAAATGCCTGGACCTTTTTGTTACCTTCGAGTCAAATGGAAAAGACTGAATGCCCCTTAAGTGTCCTAACTGGACCCTAACTCTTCTAAATGTGGCAGTATGGCACGAGGCCCAGGATGCCAGCACATGCTCGAAATGCGACAGGGAAATGCATGTGGAAGGTGACGTTTTCAGTGTCTCACACAGGAGCCCAGAACCAGGAGAGGGCAGCAAAGAAACAAGGATAATCTAGCTTTATGCTGGGCTCCAGCCTATCTTTCTCTTCTTGGTGGAGAAGAGAAACACCAACAGTCTTCATGAAATTCTTAACCCTCCTCTTATCTCACCTTTTATTTTGGGGGGCACAGGGGCTAACATCTTTGGTGTACCATACAGATTTGTAGCCCAAGGCTTCCCGAGAAGGCAAAGGCCCCCTTTGACTGTCCCCGCCCTGAGCCCAGATCCAGGTTGCTGCCCCAGATCTGGTCCTTACCCCTTGCCTCTCATTCACCTCTCAGTTGTGGCAAGCCTGGGTCTCTCTGCACTGAGAATTTCCACTCACTCATTTGGTCATTTCATGGATTCTTCTTTCAGTTCATTATATCATTGTATTGAAATCTCACTGTGTGTGCAGTGATGGAGATGCAGTGGTGGGCCAGCACCAGCCCTGATTGCAGGACTGCAGACCATGGGCGATGGTGCCCTGCCATGACTTGGGGGTTGTGTGAGGAAGAGTGCCACATCTGGTAGCGATAGTGCAAACCCATCGGCATCTAGCTTGAGGTCATGCTTGATTCAGGTCTGGCCATCAGCCAGGGTGACCACATCAGTGCCCTCTGAGAGGGAATGGGGCTTTTTGTAGCAAACTTGTCTAGTCCTGGCACATGTGTTCTGATCACAGTACGTGCAGAGATCTGGAAAGGGAGACAAGTCAATGAAATCCCCCTGCTTTTGAACAAAGAAAAGTTCAGGCCGATGCATTAAGCCAATGGCTTTCATCATGGTCAGATTAAAACCAAAGAGTGACAGATCAATAGTTCCACTCTTGTTTGCATACGGCCAACCCAGATTTGATTCCTTTCACTCCATAGGGTTCCCCAAGCTCCGCCAGGAGTGATCCCTGAGCGCAGAGCCAGGAGTAAGTCCTGAGCACAGCCAGGTGTGGCCCCAAGACAAACAAAGCCAAACAATGGATTTTACTTTATGCTGTGTGTTATTTGGTGTGCAAGAGTAACCTAAAATAACTAGGGAAAATAGAAAATGTAATTAACTGTGAAACATCTGGTACAAAAAGGGAGGTGGAGAACTTTATCTTTAAGCAAGATAGAAGAGCCTCATTCCCCTCAAGTTCTCTCTCCCAGCTCAAACACCCGCTTTCTTATCTCATAAAGACATTCTACTCGCCAAGACTGACACACATCTAAAACGATCTGCTGATGTGAATGAAAAACTAAAATTTTTATATTAGTTGAAATACGAGGTGGCATTTCAGTGTATGATGTGAAACATCCATCACTGTTTTTAATATTTTCATACAGAACACTTGTTTTTCAGTTAAAAAAATGTGACCTATTATTTCAATGACTACGTAAGTATTTTTTGAGCATGGATAATACCAGTCACTATTAGATTTGGAGGTCATAAATCCCAGAACCTGCCAATTCTGAATTTGGAAAGATTACCGCCCAGTGACGTTTGCCTTGCACATGGCCGACCCAGCTGATCCGAGTTCGATTCCTCTGCCCCTCTCGGAGAGCCCAGCAAACTACCAAGAGTATCTCACCCACATGGCAAAGCCTGGCAAGCTACCTGTGACGTATTCGATATGCCAAATACAGTAATAACAAGTCTCACAATGTTACTGGGCCCACTCGAGCAAATCGATGAACAACGGGAGGACAGTGCTACAGTGCTACTGCCCAGTGGGAGATGGACATCCATAGAGAATGTTCTGATCCTTGGTGGCTGATGAGCCATGTAAGTGATACATTGGAAACTCTGCAGAAAGCAGCTGGGAAGGCTTTCTGAAAAAGCCTCTGGCATCTGTGTTGATTGGGTAGCATTAGAAAGAGAATAAGGCAAAAAGACGACTCATAAAACTTCGAACTAATTACCAAATGTCATTTTCATGATGACTTTTCCAACAGTAGGACAGTAGAACTCCAAACTCATTCTGTGTCCTGCTTCTCCTAAGGGCTGACAAATTGCAGCAAGAGAGGGAGAAAGGAGGCATTTAGGTAGCAAACGGGGAAGCTCCTGCATCTGAAGATGGACATAAAGCCGGCGGCAATGAGGGGCTGTAATGCTGTGTCCTCCTGCTTCCTTGCTGAGGCGCATTCCCAGCTCTGTGTGGTCTCAGTGGAGTCAGGGCTGGGACTGGGACTGGAGAGTGAGCTCAGGAATTGTCCTCGGGCTTCCCTTTCTGCCACAGACACCAGGCGAGGGTCGCCACTGGTAGGTTTGTTTTTGCTTTTGCTTTTGTGTCGTTACAGGAAATAACATTTCTCAGGTATTTTTAGATTCTGGTGTGATCCCTATTGTGAAATCATGCCCTTCCATGTGTGTCCCACAAAGCCAGTCTTGAATAATTTCATCCACGATTTTTCCTCTTTAAAGCTGCTGAGTTCCCAGCTCCACCCCCGGGCGTTTCCGGCGGGGCCTGGGAAGTCGGCTCCAGGAGGGCCAGTGTGAGCCACGAAGGAAGCTGAGGGTGAATGCTTGAGAATCTCCCTGGGTCAGCCTCCCTCGCTGCCTGGGGGGAAATGCAGAATGGAAAAAAATCCTTAAAAAGCAACAGGAGACATTTTTCAAATGAGCTTTAATAATGTGAGTGAGCATGGGGTGAGAACTGCCAAGAAGGAGTGTTCACAGTGCGTAGAAAACATTGTCATTTCAGGAACTCTGATGTTTATTTTGACCATTATCACTGAGAAACAACAAACATGAAAGCAAAAAAAGGGGGGGGGGGATAAATTAGTCTATATGTAGGGTTTTTTTTTATTTGGGGGGGCGGAGAAGGGGCTCCCAAGCTGTGCTCAGGGGGCCCCATGTCCACTTCTGAGGACACTCAGTCAAACTACCAGATGGTTCCATGCAAAGGCCTGAGACTACACTGCCTGGGAACCCAATCCGAGTCCCTGGGGATCAATATGCTCACCCATAAGAGATTCCAAATGAAAATAGTCTCAGTAATTGGAAACAGAGTTCAGGAAAATGAGTGAAAGGTACGGAAGATATCAGATGGCCCAGATCACTGTTCTGACTCCCCGAAACTGCTTTTACCCGCTGTCAGGGCATGGTGCAACCGTCCCCTTTAACTGGCCAGGGAAGAGCTGTGTGAGAGGGCCTGGTATGGGGCGGGGGCACTGGTCAGCCCCACAGTGGGTTAAAAGGTATTCCAAGGTTATTGTATCTTGGGGAAGGGCTGGTTCGAGGCTTCTGGAGGACTCGCTGAGGATGTGTGGGGTGGTGACAACGACGACGATGATGATGATGGCAATGACAATGACGGTGATGATGATGATGATGATGATGATGATGATGATGATGATGATGATGTGTGTGTTTGTGTTGGGGTATGTGTGGTTGTGTCTTTGTGCAGGGTGGTGCCCCAGTGAGTGAGAAAGAAGAGTGTGGGCTGTTTAGAGTCCAGTACAGCTGGTGGAGGGGAGCCTGGCCCCGGTCTTGCAGTCAACAGGATCTGTGCTCCCTGTTGGAACCAAAGGTCGCAGAGTTTATTCCTGGGCCCTGGGGGCAGAAAGGCTGAGAGTGTCGGATCTTATCGTGTAGTTGCTGCCTCCTGAACTTCCTTGCCCCTAAGAAAATTTGGCATTTAAATATAAGATGTTTAACTTTTTCTTTGATTTTATTTATTTATTTATTTTTGGTGTGGTTTTTGTGCTTTTTAAAATGCCTTCGTGTTGATGGGAGAGATAGGCAAAGGGCTGGAGTGCATGTTCTGCTCATGAGACGAGGCCTGGGCTCAATCCCCAGCACTGTGTGTTCTCTGAGCACTGAGCTCTGAGCAATATAGGCTCTGTGCATGACCAGATATGCCCACCCCCCACACACACACACACAAACAAACAGCATCAAAAAATGAATAACATGCCTTCATTTGGCCACAGAGATAGGCCTTCAACAAGGCGTATATTCAGAACAGCACCACATGGTCCCCTTCCTAACTCCAGGAGTGAGTCCCCCACATTTTCCCCAAGCACAGAGCTGAGAGTAGCCCCTCAGATTGCTGGCTGTGACAGAGCACCTTCCGAGGAAAGAAGAAACTGTCTTGCCTACTGTCAGCTGCCCTATAATGCTCTAACAGAAAGCACAGCCATTTCCTCCCACAGATGGGAAGACGGAGGTCCAGTGGGGTCCAATGACCCAGCAGCCCCCCGAAGTACTGGGCCTCAGCCACAAGAATAATCAGGTCTGTCAGCCTATTTCTGGAAACCCTTTAGTTTTCTCAAAGTGCCAGAAAGGAGGAGAACAAGACACAGGAGCTGTGTCCAGGATGCACCAGCATGAGGTGCGGCCTCATCCTGGGCACTTGTGGCCTTGCTTCGTGCCCGTCCCCCAGGTGTGTACCTTGGGCACCGTGCCACCGGGTTCCCTCCAGGGGACTTCAGGCAAGAAGTGATGATTCCTGGCTCAAGGCACTGGCATTTCA